TGTGTTAACATTCGTAAATGTTCGTAAAAAAAACAGTCCATAATTTTGTTGGGAGGTATAGCTTGTCTGTTAAGAAAATGTAAGCATTGTGGAAATGTGTTCACTGACTGCATATTGGGTGAAAACGACATGAAATGTGTGAATGGTATGGCCACAAAAGACCGATGCTGTGCTAATTGTGTTTAGAGTTTTGAAAATGTGACAACTGTTTGGACAAACGCTTGTTAGCGACTGAAAAAAACTGTAAACTTCCACTGAACCCTCTGAAGTACCTATGACTTTGTGTGCCTTTTATTTGACATTATACGATGTACTTAACTTTTTACTTCTGCTAACCTGCTTTGCTTAGCAGATTCCCATCAGATTACGAGGTTATGATGTCACTAACTATTCCTTGACCAGGGGGCTGTATTACTTGCTTAACTGGTTGGATTTAAGGTTGTCTGGGGTAAATGTAAACGAACAAAGATAGACCCCATTCAAACAGGGGTACCTTAAATCAGGGCCCAGTTCTTGTTGTGTTTCTACAAGACAAAACAAAAAAGATATAATTGTATTTCTGGTTCCTTTACGTTAAAGTGTGAAGGACACAAGATGACATCACACAGCTGAGCATGGCCACTCCCCTCAAACACCTAATAGATGCAAATCACCTCCCCAGATGTTGTATGATTAATATAAAAAAAATCTTTATTTAGTTGTTTTTCTTACGAGTTTTATTTATTTGCAGTGTTGTTTATTTTCACATTGTTTCTGTTATCCAGGACTGACGCTTCAGCTACAGTATCACCAGAATTTTTCCCCTGGACGATCACTTACCTCATGAGAACTATGAGGGATGAAATCGCACAGCCGGCCAGTAGAGGGAGCCACGCTCACTATATGATAGTGGTGGGTGGATCGATCCAAGTATCGATAATATTGATAATAATATTGGTATTGATATTGATCAATATCAGTTTAAGGAGATCGATACTCTAGTTTCAGTCTCTCTCCTGAATGCACTGCTGCTGTCTGTGTGAGCTGAGAGGACAGTTTCTAAGTACCAGGCGAAGTGCAATAAAATCGCAATGTGTGAACATGATACTGTTCCTGAACAAAAAACCTTTAATATGTTCTGCACAGGGGGTGGGGGATATTCCTTTGAGCGTTTTTACACTTTATTGTATTTTTAATTGTACTTTGTTTATTGTATTTTCAGTAATCATTTTTTATTTTTTTTTCAAAGCCAGTTCTCTAATTTAGTGCACTTTATGTAAGAAAAAGACATTTTGTGTTACTTGTTGTATTTATTTACTAATAAACTTTGCCCAAATTCTGTCCTGCGTTTTAACTAATTAGTAAAAAAAAAACCACAAAAACACTTAAAGGTAATAAAAATTAATTCAGCTTTAGCAATTTGATGCATCCACCTTGATTATTAAAAAGTATCCATTTCGGTATCGGCGATACTGGCCCTGTATTGAAACTTGGTATCGGATCGATACCAAATCTTGTAGCCTAGTATCGCACACCACTACTATATATATATATGATTGAACTGGACTTCCAGAGCTGTGCGCTTGATTCCTGGCCACGACTTTGTCTGGATGTCCTTGGTTTATCCACTTAAACTGGTCACTTGGCGTGATGCACCCACCCCCAGCAGTCTCGTATTTCACTTATCAAAACAATTACTACGTTGGTGTTACTAAGAGAAAACAGTACCTAAAACTAAATGCCACGATTTTATTTCACCAGACCTAACCCAATATAAACGATCCTGCTTAGTTTGCCCGATTAAATTAAAACCATTTCTAATGAACAGAAGCAGATCCAGTTTTGCCCTAATCAGGAGACACTTTTCTCCGCAGTCATCTGCCCGCTGCATGGCGACGTTTAGCGATAGTAGTGTTTGGCAGACGGATCACGTTGTTTTTTTTTTTTTATTATTTTTTCTGTGAAGGCGAGTTTAACGCCTGGGCTGAGCTTTTAAAACGTCGCACATCTGCTGCAGGCCCCAGTTGCCGTTAAAAGAATATGTGCAGAAACACGCCAGTTATCGCTAGTTACCCCCCCACACACACACCCACAAATACACACACTCCCCCCGCTGGCGGCAGCACGCCCCAACATTCCAACAAAATGATACAAACTGTCTGTCAAATGTGATGTGTTTACAGGTGGATGGATAGTTGGGACACGTTGTGGGCACGCAAGCCATTTACAATGAAAAGAAAGGCAGTAAATGACGGAGTGGTGAGAGGCATACCTTGATTTCGGGTTACTCATATGCTCCCAGAAAGAATCAGTATTTAAAGCAAACTACTAAAAAAAGCTCTGCTGAACCCCTTGAATTTTTAATCATAGCACATCATCAAGGACACAGAAAAAGATTACAATAATGTACAGAAATATATGGAAATATGTATTTAAAAATATATTGCACACCAATACTCTTGTCAGGAGATACAAATCAGCATCTCTACATGTATATTTGTATATATGTGTGTGTGCGTGCATGTATATATATATATATATATATATATATATATATATATATATATATATAT